GGGAAAGCGCCGGTTTTCAACACGTAAGGGTATAGAGAACACACGTCTACGTAACGTATTTTCTCCGTACCCGTAACTTCGCGCCGAATCGCGATGTTTCCCGTTTGACCGCCGAAAAACGCGTCACGCGGTGAAAGCGGTTCAGCCGCGAGCATCAAATGTTGGTCTAAATACGCTCACATTTCGCGATTTTTTCGCATATCGCGATCAAAAGCGCACTCCCATTTCTTCGTCACGATGTACCCTCGTTTGCGAAGACGCCATAACGTTGTCAGTGTACGCTCGTATCGCGAGTTTATCGTGTCGTACACTTCGCGCTCCCCCGTGCAGAGACGTTTGTCGCGTTCCGTTCTAAAACACACGGAACACCCGTGCCAAAAGCAGCCGTGGTATTGCAACACGTGACGCTCACCGTTCGCCGTCTTGTAATACCCGTCGACGGGAATGCCTCCGACTTCCGCGAGACGATGTTCTCGCCCGTGACCCGCGTGAACAATGATGCGGCCGAGCGCGCGCTCTTTCCACACCAGCCACTGCAGAGCTTTGCGGGATTGCGTATCCGCGAAGCGATATCCGCCGCGAGGAATGACGCCGATCTCTTCCTCACGTAAAAAGTTTTTGCGGAAAACGCGCATACATGTGGAAACGATGGTCGTGCATTCTTCGAACGGACATACGTTTCCACACTCGAGAAATATCTTGCGGAAGGCCATGCACGCTCGCCGCAAGATATCAACGTCGTTAAGACAATAACGAACTATCTCGCGTTGAAAGTCAAAAACTGCGTTTTTGCGCATCTGTTCCGCGTGCCACGACAAAAAACGTTCGCGTTCTTTGCTAGACATACTATCCGGCGAGTATCATTTAACGGCTGGTAACGGACCGACGTACGACTGATTCGCGAGTGTGTTAAATAAATGCGGAAAATATCCCTTTTCCACTCCACCCCGCAAACCGAAAGTTTTCGGCAGAGCTGACAAAGGCATCGGCATGTAGTTGATACTGTCAATAAATTTCGTACGCCCGGCCGTTAATACGACAATCTTCATCCCGTTTAATATTACTCGTGGATCCAAATCGACACGTTTTTCCGTGATGTAACGAAGGATGAACTTTGCGTCGAACGTCTTGGCGTTGTGCGCGATGCAGATAATCTGCTTGAAACATTTTGTCATTCTCGTAACGAAATCGACGAATTGCCTCACCGGATCATCGCGGAACACGAATTCGTGCACACCGCACCACTGGCAACGTACCGTCATGTCGTCCTCGCCCGCACACGCGACGCAAATCTGCTGTGCGACGCAAAGAGTGGGCACGTGAATTTTCACAGACGCTGTACCTTCGAGCATCTCATCCTGTCGGGTCTCGAAATCGTAGAACACGAATGCGCGCGTTTTTCTTTTTGCCGGTGAAATCCTCGCGTGCAAGAGGTCGAATATAACAAAGATGGATTACATCTTGACGCGAACTGCAAATGTTACAAAACACGACGCCGCATTCGTGCCTCGCACTCGCTGTTCTGTACAAACGCCCGCAATCGTCACAAAATTGTAAGGCGCTGCACACGCTCACGCGACCGTCTCCGTACGATTTTTCGGCTCGGTGACGCTCGAAACACTCGCGCCCGTAAAACATTCTCTTACATTGCTTGCATCGAATTACTTCTACTTCTTCTGTTTTGCATGACGGCACACCGCGACAACGCGGACATTTATGCGAGCATTGATGAATTCCTCGTTCGGGACGATAAGGCAGGTTGCAAGGAATGCAGTATCCCCTGCTCCCCGCTGCCGTTCTTAAATTAAAAATCGGGCAATAGTGACGCGAACCCTCGCAATAAAGAATATTTAAACGTAGCAAGGATTTGCGTCCAAGAGAGACGAGCAACGCACCACCGTCGTACAACGGTTTTCCGCCTTTCGCGAAAGTAAACGAGGCGTAAACAATTATAGCTAACCCCTCCCCGGCAAGGTACCGTTGAAATCGCTAAATTTCCTTAATACCACAGCCCTCCTCCGGAATTGTGATGCCTGCTCTTTTCACCAACTCCTGTGCCCATTGGCGTTGTAAGGAGGAGTTCGAACGTCTCATTGCATTCCATCGCTCCTTTGTTCGACAGAGAGTGGACAGTGCATACGCGTATTGTAAACGACGTAGCGATGTCTATCCCTCCGTTACTTTGCGCAGCCGAACTCACAAGAGACCAAATATTTTCGTGAGTCAAGTCATGCGCAGGACGAAAAGAAAGACCCGCTGCACCGTTGGTCAAAGTCGGGGAGTCGAACCACACCCCAACGTAATCATTCGGCTCCGATAAATTTGTCGCGTATCTGTGAATTTCGCGAACTGCACTCTCCACCCATTCTACTATTTCAGCACCAGGCTGAATTTCGCGGATCTCAAATGTCGCCTCTCTCCTTATTATTCCGAATTTCTTAAATCTACGCGCGTTTTCCGTCCGTAATACAATAAATGTATAATTATTATTATTTTCACCGATCTGTTCGCTTCTCTCGTCATCGGTAGCACTGTCGGGGGTGGCGGGAATAGCACTGCCGGTGTAACGCTCGGTGGTGTCGTTGATGTCGCTGTTGCTTCTCTCGGCGGCGCTGTCGGGGGTGGTGGGAGTAGCACTGCTTTTGCCGGTGTAACGCTCGACGGTGTCGTCGCTGCCCTCGTTGTTGGTGCCGTCCTGTTTACTACTACTACTAGTTTCTTGCGCAACATTTACAGTTCCGCACCCGTATTGCACTGTAAATACAAAAGCTTAATACAAAAATTCTCAATATATTAACAAGCAATTATCAAACGACAGTAAACGAACCAATTATTGATATATTAGACAGACGCTTCAATTACATTTGATTAAATCCATATATATACGTGTTGTATATAAGGTGTTATAAATATATTGTTATAGAAATAAATATTGTTATAAAAATAAAAAATTGAAGTCAAATTTAATGAAAAATATACTGAGTGTGGACATGACAATACGCGTTTGGACATGCACAATATTAATGAAACTTATGCTTTAGTTATGCTCGATATTAATTTAAAAAATATAATGGTGTGTTGACAATTGTGACCTCAGGTTCAGTTGCAAAATCAAAATGTGTTGAATAAAATAGGCGTTACTGAACTAGTTGCTGGATGTATTGCAGATGTATTGAAATTTGATATTAATTTAACAAACGTTTCGACTTTTGTTTTAAGTCTTCCTCAGTGTGCTGTACAATAAATTACACATTTGGTAATGAAATCATTTTACATAGAATAACATTATTAAATTATCAATTAAAAATATTTTGAATGTTTAAATGTAGTTAACATTAGAATATACAATAAATATTTTGAATAGACTAATGACGTACCTTTATTCTATGAATTCTCACATCTGTATATTTCTATTAGTCATGTGATTAAAATGATGTTGTTTAGTCAAAGGTGTCTTTAAGACTGAAATTGAATGTGACAGACTGCGAATGGTTTGAGAATAAAAGCACGTTTACAATTGATGTCGTGAAAATATTACTTAAGTCTATTCAACAGCGGCAAGTATGTATCATCTAACATATCAGTGTCTTGCATCTTATTTAGTCCTTTTGTTTGTAACTTAATGTATAACATTTCTGACGTCAATCTCTTAAAATAATTTGGTTCTATATCTAATGTTTCTGTGGAGTTCCAATTAAACGTATGACCCGTTATTAAAGAATGTTCTGCCAAGACTGATTTGGTATCTTTTTTTATTACATATTTTTTATGTTCGTTAATTCTGGTTTTGATTTGTCTTTTTGTCTGTCCTGTGTAGGTGTAATCACATGACTCGCATGAAATACGGTAAACCACATTGTTCTGTTGATGTTTGTCTATCTGATCTTTATGAGTTCTGATAAATTTATTTAATTGGAATAAATTTCTAAATGATAATCTTGTGTTGGGTATTTTATTTGTAATTGCGTTGAAACTATTGTTTTTTGGTGTGGGTATGAATGGAATTAGGAAATAAGTGACTGGTTTATTATCATGTGATTCTATATGAGAGAAGTTTTTGTTTAATTTCGTTGTGAATAAAGTTTTTAATCTTTTGTTAATTGTTCTGAAAATGAGTTCTAACGGATAATTGTTTTGTAACAATATTTTTATAATGTGAGATAAATTTTTATGTTGAAAAGAAGGATCAGATAGTAGAACAGCTCTATCTACTAAGGTGTATATGGTGCCTATTTTATGGTAAATAGGATTTTGGGACAAATAATTTAAATATCTTCCTGAAAAACTGGGTTTATGGTACCAATCACAAACTATTTTGTTGTTTTTCAAGATGATATTCAAATCCAGAAAATTTAATTGATTATAAATTAATTAATAGGCCGATACGAGCAATAAAATACAGGATGACAGCGTATCAACAATAGTCTTTATTCAAAAAGACACAAAAAAACAAACGTTTCAGTCCACAATTTTGGACCTTCCTCAGTGTAATAATTGTTACATTCAAATAGTTTAACACATCGCTTCAATATAACAAAATAATGTCAATCGAACATGACGATAAAAAACAAATATTGTGTTCGATTGACATTATTTTGTTATATTGAAGCGATGTGTTAAACTATTTGAATGTAACAATTATTACACTGAGGAAGGTCCAAAATTGTGGACTGAAACGTTTGTTTTTTTGTGTCTTTTTGAATAAAGACTATTGTTCATACGCGGTCATCTTGTATTTTATTGCTCGTATCAGCCTATTAATTAATTTGAACTTTTCACGAGCGATTGTTTGATTAATTGATTATGTATTTGCAATTCATATGTAAATTTAATTCTGCGGTGGACAGCATTGAAAGCACATAACACTTGTTTTAATTTGTCTTTAGGAATAGATAATGCTATGTCATCCACAATATTATTAATTTAAAAAATTTATTTTTATGTAATATTTTTTAACGTAATGTTAAGTTTATACAGAAAAATTAAATAAGTAGGACAACGAGTATATATATATATATATATTAAACGTATATTTATTCAATTAAATGAAGCGTTTACCTAATTTATATCGCTAATTGGTTCTTTTATTTTTTTTTTATTATATCGCTTATACATTGCAACACTTTTCCTTTCCGAAGAGCTGCAATGAGAAAAGGTGACTCGCCTTCGCCGTGTGAAATGTCACCGATCGGGTGAGCCCGAACGAGAGCTGAACACCCGGAACCGTCAATTAATTTTACGTTGTGATTTGGGCGCCAGGCACGTGTTTCACGTGCCGAATATGCGTTCTTCGCCGAATTCTATCGCGCGAGAAGGCTTCAGCTGTTTTAGTGTAAATTTCGGAGTCGCGTGCGCTAGACACCGCGCCGGTGTTTACGCGACTCGGCGAGCCGGGTCGTTGACCGGATTTACACTCGCGTCTGATCAGCTGTTTGCCTGTTTTGAACAAAGATAACCAGCGTTACAGACTTCGCCGGTTCTACGCTCTCTGAATTAACTAATACGCGATCGCTCCTCAACAAATGCCGATAGCCTTTCTATGATCACTTCGATTCGAGTCGATAGCACCCGTCGGTCGCGATACCGCAATCGTTCCCTGTGAGTAGCCTATCACTCTCACGGCTCCGGGAAAGCCTGCCGCGGAATTCGCTCTTATTTTTCCGGGCGCNGCGCACGTGTACGCGGTTCGTATACAATATCGAGAATTCGCCTCGCGCGATCTCCGATAACGGTAACGCGTGACGATAGCACCCGTACTTTCCACGTAACAATTTCAAGAGTTTNTCCTCCGGGGCGCGTGACCGTTCGATAGCTGAGGTGGCGGGTAATCCACGCCTTAACGACGTAGGCCGATAACTTGTTATTCGTCGCTCGATTGCGACTGCTCGCTCCACTCGAAAAACCCGAATAATAATTATATTTTCGGACGGGGCACTCCGGTCCCTTACGCGACAGTGTGGGCGACACAGGGCCCTCGAGACAACACAAATAAAAATTATAACGCGAGTGGCGCAACACTGAGAGTAAATTTCGGCTTCGCGCCGGTACCTCACCGGTGTAGATCTCACGGACAGGGTCCAGTAGCTCTGCAAACTCGCCTCCGGCGG